TCCAAATTAGAAAAGTAGAAAACTCATGATGATAGAAATAACCTATATGTTAGTCATCATAATAAGAAAAAATAAATTTCTCTCTCTAGTTAACAGAAACATGACCATCAGACTGGTTCCTAAAATTTCAGACAAGCAAGAAGATGAAAACACCGTATTCATAAACACTTAAATAAATTATAAGTCAGACTATGAAGAAGTGAAAAAGAATTAACTAAAGCCAAATACACCAACATGAATAAGTCAACATGGATGAATCTCAGTGTCTAGAAAAGCAAGGCAGAATATCAAGTACGATTTCAACTAAATACATGTCAAAAACATGCAAAACTGAACATTTTTTTTAGGAATACATATATCGGATAAAACCACAAATACGAGTGAAAGAATTAACACAAAAAGCATGGTAGTGGTTACTTCCAGGGGTAAAGAGGAAAATAAGATTAGTGAGAGGCCCACAAGCTCTTCTAACACACTAGGACCATTATATTTCTTAAGCCAGTAGCAGGTAGGAGGCACTGAGTAAATAGGTATTGGTTTTATTTTTTCATTCTTTTGTATATCTCCCATTTTAAAAAACATAATCACAAATGCTTGTGAATGCATAAAATCTTCTTAAAAAAAAAAGACAACTCTTTAATGTAATGTTCATGAACTCTTCTTGGATGTGTCCCAGACCTATAAAAAGCTGCTGTCACTTGGATTCTCACTATGTAATGGGGAAAACACACACACAAAAGAAAATTAATTAGTACATAATCTATGCTCTCTACATTTTACTGGGACAGTTTACCTGTTATCAAACTTTAAAAATGCCTATTACTGATGAACAAAATGTTGGCAACATGTAAAAATGGCTATTCTTTGTTTTTGTAATCCTCACCCAAAAATGAGATCCTATTGATTTCGGAAAGGGCAAGAAACACTGATGTGAGAAATATCAATCGGTTGCCTTCCATATGAACTGGACCGGGGATCGAACCTGCAACCCACGTATATGCCTGATTGGGATTTGAACCAGTTACCTTTTGGTATATACGATGTAGCCTCAAGTGAGACACCTGGCTAGGGCTGGCCAATAGTTTATATGTTGTTTTTTTTCTGATTGATACTAGTAAGTCATACTGCATTATCTTTCAAAGACCAGCAGTATGTGAAAAGCACAAAGTGGTAGAAGGAGCAAACATTAATTATGCATATAATGGAAAACCTTAAAGGAGCTGAGCATAAAAAGAAAAACAATCAGATAGTCATCAGTTTTGTTTCAATACTTTGATGTTCTTTATTTTTGTATGTGTGTGAAGCAACTAGTATCCAATGATAAATACTAATAGACTTAGTTTTGTGGATCAAGATCCTCATTTACAACTTAGTGAACAGATATCCCTTCACCTATTGTAAATTTAGTGCTGAAGAATTCATAAAGCAATAATAATGTGAGGGGCAGTGTGATAAAACTGAAAAGGCATTTCCAATTCCATGCTTAAACATTAACTAGATATGACCTTAAGTAATCATCTGAGTATGCTTTCTCATTAGTATACAAATATTATATTAGCACAAAAATTTGTTTTCCAGGTACTCAAATGCTTGATTCCTTAGGGTTGTTTAGATATATAGATGTGAAAATGCCTACCACAGTAAAGAATATTACCTTCCTATCATTCTTTCCTGTGGTTTTTACTAGTTCACTAAGGCTTATTAAATAACTGTTGGATTTGCTTTTAACTACTATTATCATGTAGAAATCTTTGCTATTAATGTAGCTTGGTCGAGCTATAATATAATCTTAAGATAAAAGTGAGGATTAATGATGTGTTTTAGAACTTTTTGCCCTTGGGTCGCTGATAGAGGAAACAGGCATTTTAACATTCATCCTATTTCTACATATCCTGAGTAATATATGCAATTTTATAGTTTTATGTAACTATAGATCTATTTCTTACATATCTATACTTTTGATCCATGGAATTAGATACTAAACATGAAGGATTTGTTTCCAAGTAGTTACTCATATACCACTTTTGAGTACTTTCTCTCTGAACCTTGACCATTTTGTACTACAAATGATCCTCTAAACTGGGGTTTTCACAATACTGGTTAGATGTATAACATGGCTTACCTTGACCAGTAATCCTCCCATTAGCTTTAGCTTTGGGCTACAGTTGAGAACTACACTGCAAACCAGAGGTCTGAAACACAGCACCTGGGCCAAATCAGACCTGTATTCTCTAAACTTAACTGAATGTTGAGGAATCAGATGTCAAATAAAATAATATCCATATATCTTTTATCTCCATACCATGCCTTGAAAGCAGAAACAGAAATTTGTTATGGGACTGGGTTTTAATTCAACAAAGAGAAAAACCAAACCATTTATGTGTAAAGGAGACTCAACCAGGACATTATAATCACACTAGAGGCCCGATGCATAAAGATTCATGTCAGAATGAGCCTTCCTTCCCCTGGCTGCTGGCAGTGCCTTTACTCTATGCCTGCATCGTCACTATGGCTACCTCATGACAATGCAAGCCTCCTGCCCCACTCCCAGAGTATGCAAATTAACCCATATTTATTGGCTGGTGGGCGTCTCAAAGGTATGTTCAATTAGTAGGTTATTCTTTTATCAGGTAGATGTTAAATACCTTGGGCATGCAATAAACTGTGTGCATTGTTTAAAATATTCAAGGAGGCATTTACAAAACTCAGCTTGTGTCTTGGCCAGGTGGCTATTTTGGAAGGTCATTTCATACACCAGAAGTTGCAGGTTCAATTCCCTTCCAGGGCACATGTCTAGGTTGCATGTTTGATCCCCAGTTGGAGGGCATACAGGGGGCAGCTGATTGATGCTTTTCACTCACATTGATGTCTCTCTCTCTCTCTCTAATCAACAGAAACATAACCTCAGCAAGGATTTTAAAAAATTCAACTTTTACTATTTAGTCTTTTAAAAAATATATATATTTTATTGCCTTTTTTACAGAGAGGGAGGGAGAGGGAGAGTTAGAAACATCAATGAGAGAGAAACATCGACCAGCTGCCTCCTGCACACCCAGTATCAGGGATGTGCCAGCAACCAAGGCACATGCCCTAGACTGGAATCAAACCCGAGACCTTTCAGTCCACAGGCCGATGCTCTATCCACTGAGCCAAACCGGTTTTGGCCTAGTTGGTCTTTGTAGCTGCTTAGTGAATGACTAAGTAGCCACTTTAAGAAACAGTAGCTTTCTATGTCACAGCCCCCAAATACCCTTCAACAGACACATGGTTAAACAATGTGGTACATCAATACCAGGGAATACAACCTAGTAATACAAAGGAACAAACTACTGATGTGTCTGACAGCTTGATTAGATTTCAAGGGCATTATGATGAGTAGAGAAAGCTAATCTCAAAGGTGACATTGTACAACTCCATTTCTGTAATATTCTTGTAATGACAAAATTATAGAGATTGAGAACAAATTAGTGGTTGCCAGGGATTAGAGTGTACATGTGACTACAAAGAGGTAGCATGAAAGAGATCTTCACAATGTTTGAGCTATGCACATACTTTGCACAAATATCAGTATCCTGGTTGATATTATGATATAGGATAGTATACTATACTATACTATCCTGGTTGATATTATAACATAAATGGAAAATATTGGGGGAAACTAGGTTTAGGTTACAGGGGCTCTGCTTTGTAATGGTTTTGCAACTTCCTGTGAACCTACAATTATTTCAAAATAAAACATTAAGAAACACGTATTCTTGTATACACAAGGAAGTTCACAAGATAATGAAATACAGCCAATTTTATTCAAATTCTCCAAAATGTATACTCAGTATGTTGTTTCTGCAATAGTGGCTTTATTATCTTCACTTTATAGCTTTGTTTTTCTTTACAGTTCTTCAGTAGAAGCCAGAGTCTTGAGTTGCCCAGTTAGGAGCCTAAAATATAAAAAAAGAAAGAGTAAAAAAAGGAAGCAATTTTTGAAAAAATTTAGAAAAAGTGATACTAGCATTTCCTTTTCGCACTATTCCTGCCAAACCACTTCCTAAGATTTTAACAACCTTTGCAATTGTTAAATGTCAGATGTTCCCCTTAAAACAAAATATATCAAAACACCATCTGATATTTTTGACCAATTAATTATTAAGTATAACAATGACAATATCAACATTATAAAATCAAATTGATCCCAAATCAATACAAAAAATCTGTTACATAAAAGATATTTTTCAGACTCAGTTATTCTACACTTGGTTGGAATAGGCATTGACAATAATTTCCTAATTCATCCTTCTCTTTTAAGGACTTCTAAGGACACAAACCTGTTACTAAACTTCAACTAACTGAGCTCCTTGAATGTTCCAAAGCTGCTTCCTAAAAACTTCCTAAAAACTCCTTGAATGCTTTGGAACATTCAAGGAGCTCAGTTTATGTCTCCACTGACACATAAACACAATGGTTAGAGTTAAAAGTGGTTTAGAATGCCAAAATTACAAAGCCATGCAAGTTGTTTTATTGTCTAATATGTAGGATCTCTATCAAAAAGGGGAATATATTTTTTTACAAAGTTAAATCTGATAAAGTCAAATTTTAAAAGATTAACATATAATAAAATCAACATTTTACAGAAGTGTTTCTTTAGATTTAAAAAAACAAAATAAATTTCAAGCACTTAAAAGAGGGGTATACATATGACTTATAATCTTCTACTATTAAAATTATGTGTTGAAAACCCTGAGGAAATGAGTTAATGAAGTCACACAGGAAGAGTAAAAGGAAACTTAATTTTTTTTTTTAACTTTCCCTAACAAATGCATGCAATACATGTAAGAAAAATTCTTTTCCACTTAATAATTTCTTAAACCAAATGTTCATACCCGCAACAAACAGAAATGCAAAATCAGATACAACTGATATTACGATGTTCTCAAAGTAAGTCCATTTAACAATTATGTTACATTATTGCTAAGTCACATACAAAACAAAAAATGTGTAGTTCTTACCTCTGACCTACTATTCTGATTAAGTTTCTTCTCAATATTCATGGCCAACATCTGACTTCTAAATGAAAGGCTTTTGGTCTTTTCAATCACTTGCTGATAGGGTGAGACTGCATTGTTACCCATAACCACATGACCCTAAAATAAGACAAAGGAAAATTGATCCTGTAATATTAATAACCATTTCCCAGGTATGTCACAAGCATGACATGACAACATTAAGTAACTGTTTCACATAATTTTTATATACCAGAGATAACAATATTTACCCCCAAAAATGATTAAGTTGCTGTTACATTCAAAGAACTATTATACATTAAAACAAAACAAATTCTTGATAGAATTAAGTTTCCTAATGAGTATTCAGGAAAAAGTATAAAGTAACCAGCAACTGCTATCTAGTTAAGTGGACAGTTAGCTTAATACTCACTAATTTGGAATCAATCTTGGCATCCAGTCTTGCATTTCTAATCAAATTGACAATCCACCTTTCTGCTTCTTCTGGAGTCATGTTCAGCTTATCTGCCAACATACTAATTAAAACAAAAAAGTAAAAAAAAAGACATTGAGTATAAAAACTTAGTTTTAAGCACATAGTCTTTGACCTACACTCTGCAAATAGATTTTTAGGTGTTCATGGGTTACCTTCTCATAAATGGCTGTTTCCCTGTATTTGTTTCTATGTTAGGTAGAGCTGTTATGTCTCCTGGAATTGGTAGAATGGCCATGTGTAACAACTGTTCTGTATGGCCCAGTGCCCCAGCCTCTCTAGTCATCTGAACTGGGCACTCTAGGTGTACTTTGCCCATGTGGGCTATGTGCACAGTCTTACTGTAGTTGAGCCTTGACTGGTGTCCCCTGAAAGAATTGCCTGTGAGGACCAGTATTGTCTACAATGGCTATACAGGTGACATTCCTATGGAGCAGGTCTTCCTTCAGTGAGGCTTTGATGTTCACCGAGTCTGTCCCTTGAGTGCGTGCTTGTGGATGTATAGAGTTATAATCTGGTCTGAGCTGTCCACCAGGTCACTGGCTCTGGGATCTACCGGCAGGTACAAAGCCAGCCCCTGCCTGAGCCACTCAGCAGGAGCTTCAGAGAAGTCTGCAAATGGCTGGCCACTTGAGTAAAGATTTTGTATCAGTATGTATTGTGCTAGGAAGTGCCCAGGTGAGGCCCAGCTGTGAGGTAAGGCAGGTCAGTGCTAGTGCTGGGTCTTGGGTCTCTTACTTACTGATAGGAGTGGGGCATGCTGACACTGGCTGCTGCTTGTGTAAGATATTTTGGCAAAGTCTGAAGGCTGAACCAGGACAGGCCATTCATATGGAAAAGCAGCTACAAATTGCTTAGGTGGGAGTACAATTGGATGAAACAGGGTCTCAGGGAATCACCACGGCGGGTGGTGTGAACAGTGTAGACCACACTGATGGAAACTCAAATATAGCTGCCAGTCAGCTCTGCAATGGGGAAGATATCAGAGCAGGAAATGACCCCTGTGAGCACCCCTGTCTGGGAGCAAACTGCCCCCAAGTTCCTTCCTTGATGCCAGACAGTACAGTTCATCCTGTATGTCCCTGGCTTCCCCTAAAGCTATCATCTGGCACTGGAGCTCAGAGGGGTTGGGACCGTGAAAGTTTGTGTGAGGGCACTTGAAGAATACTTGGAACTCCAGCAGCTTCCATGTCACTCAGCCACAATCCCTGCTGGTTTTTATAGCCTAAATTTATGGGGACTTCTCTTCCAATCTTTGGAACCCTATGCTGAGAGTCTGGTATGGGACTGGGACCCCCTACTTCTCATGGGAGGCCTTGGAGATATTCCTCCCGATTAAAGAAATGTCACACGTGTGTGTTGGACCAGCCTGTTCCATGCCTCCAACCCTCCTACTAGTCTCACTGTGCTTTCATTTTTACTTCTCTAGTTGTAGGACTTCCATTCAGCCAGTTTTCAGGCACTTCTGAATGATGGTTGTTCTATAATTTTGATGTGGTTGTGGGAAGCGTTAAGTACTGGTGTTTAACTATGCCATCATCTTGGCTCTCTTCAGTAAAGATTTTGTATCAGTCTTCTAACATGCACCACCAGTATGCATCCCACTGGTCCCACCTTCCATCACTTGAGATATTATCTGGTTCTTTGTCATCTCTACTCCATCTTCCTTTTTCTTTCTTTTACCTCAAATGGGCAAAAATAGTGAAGATGGAGCTTTATGTCTACATTTTTCAATGCCATGTGATCTTGTTGTGGAATGTAACAATAGTAAAGATTTAAAAATAAAAATGTAATATCCTATTAAAGCTTAAAAAGCAAAAAGTTGACAAACTATTCTATGCCATACTTATCTTGTATTATTTAAAATTCTTTTTATCAATAGCTAAATGACAACACATATCAAAATGCAGAATTTCTGAGAAAAATTATGTAATTCAATATGGATAGATTTTAAACAAAAATAACTTCCAAATTATTTAGATTACACTAAATATCTCAACCTTGTATATACATAGAATAGGCATTTAAATGTTATATATAAATCCCCCCTTTAAAGTATGTTTTTTTATTGATTTGAGAGAGAGAGGAAGGGAGAGGAAGACAGAAACATCAATATTTCAAGAAAAAACAATTTTAATTATGATATTACCAAAACTTTACTAACATAGTATAATGAGGAGAAAGAAATTTGAGAAATGATAACTGTTGTGTGACAATTTAAAATTTTCATTTTTCCAACATCTCATTAGTAAAAAATAATTATTTTATAGTTAATGAAGAAATGCAATAATGACTTTTGAAACTATTTTATCTGCATATACAAGTGTATCTTTCAATTTCTCTCTAATAATATTAGGAAGTATAATTATGAATATAAATTGCTAATTGGTAGTAACAACTTTAAAAAACATATTAAGATTAAAAAATATTAATAAGCAAAGAAGAAATGACTTCAAGGAAATGCAAAAGCAGTTGGCAAATATTTTGTGAAAAGTCAAAACTAGCCTCTATAGGGAAATTATATTAATGTATGTGCCAACATGTTTATCACACACATTCAAATTATTACTTCCATACTTTTGTTTTTATCTACAATTGAAAACGGGTCCAAGAATTATTCTAGAACAGCTTTTAAATTTCAGAGACACACCATATCTAATAAACTATTCAGCTATACTAAATTAAATCCCACCACAGTAATCTTTTTTGACATACGTTGTTGCATATTTTATGGTAAACAGATTCATAACTTAGCCTAAAGAGTTGTATATAAAGGGATAAAAGCATTATTAATATGCATTTTAATAGAGATATGTGCCTACAACCAGTTAGTCAAGAAACTTATCAACAGAGAAATGTTCCAAATCACAAATGGAAATAACTGTTTAATAGACAACAATAAAATTGTAAAACTCAATACTATTCTATTCAGCATTTGATATTTGTCAGCTGGAAAAAAAGAGGCCAGAGACAAATCCTTCCCTTTCCTTGCTATTAAAAAAAAAAGGACTGAATATCAAATAACTTTAAATTAGAGGCAGAGATAGGCAAGCATAAACTAGTAAATGTAGTCATTGGTCATAATTAGTATACAGTGAAAATAAGTCTACCGTGGTACTTAAAGATAAGCCATTTAGAGACATAAGGGTTTACTGAAACTTTAAATTACTTCACTGATTTTGCATTCTACAAATTACATCCATGCCATCCTTATTATTCTGTATTTTTCCCCCAAAAAACATCTACCATAGTTTATAACTTAATCTTTATTTAATATCTGTTTCTTCCTCTGTTTCTTTCCTCTGAGGATGTGCTCCCTACTATCTTATCTTCTCAATGCCTGGTGGAAAGAGTTGCTCATTCACATTTGTAATATTTTCTTCTTGAATAACTTAGTTATACTGTTGTTAATAATCCATATATATAAAAGCCCAAGTGACTGAAAGACCGAATAACCAGTTGCTATGATGCGCACTGATCACCAGGGGGCAGATGCTCAATGCAGGAGCTGCCCCCTGATGGTCAGTGCATTCCCATGGCCAACAATCTGTGATCCCTTCCCCTCGGCTAGCCCCCCAGATCGGCCTGAGTATAGGGGGGAGCTGGCTGGCCAACCTCCAGTGGTCCCTACCCCAGCTGGCCAGTCCCACCGATCAGCCCCAATAACCAGACCAAGGGACCCCACCAGTGCACAAAACACGGGGCCTCTACTATGCATATAAGATCTTTGGTTAATCTATTCCCGCACTCCCCCCTTCCCTCCCCTCTGAAGATTCATCAGTCTTTCCCATTTTTCCATGCCTATGGTTTCCACTCCTGCTTTGAGTGTCTGCCCCCTGGTGGTCAGTGCTCATCATAGCTACTGAACAGTTGGCTGGTTGCTTAAGTTTTTATATATACAGATCACTACACGTAGCATATTTACCTTGTTTATAAAGTTGAACACTTCATTTAAAAAAAGTTTCTGTATATTCTTGAAAAGGCAAAAAAATAGAAACGAAAAACATGAGTGGTTGCCAGGGGTTAAAGAAAGGTGGAAGCTGGGGTGGGAATGGCTATAAATGAGCAAGTTAAGGGATCCTTGTGGTGACAAAATGTTCTGTATCTGAATGTTTCAATATCAATATGCTGGTTGTGATGCTATTTTGCAAGATTAACACAAACTGTATAAAGAACACAGGGGATGTCTATTTTTTACAACTGTTTGTGAATCAATAATCACCTCAGAATAAAAAGCATAATGAAGAAAAGAGGTTTTGCATCAAAATTATTTAGGAGTTACAAAAAATAGACACTGAGGTTCTCCTTCAGAGAATCTTTTCATTTCAAGGCTTTGGGCTCAGTCATCCATTAGTTTTCCTTTTTTTTTTTCCTCTTAAAAAAATTCCCTCTTGATCTAAAATGGAGTTAGGACTACAAATTACTAGCTTAGAACAATGATTCCCCAAGGTTAATTGTAAAAGAATCATCTGGGAAGCTTTAAACCCAGATTCTCAAGTTCTGATCCCAGAGATTCAGATTCAGAAGGTCCAGGTGAAGCCAGAAAATCTATTCTTTGGATGTTTAAAAACCCTCGGATTGGAGAACAATACATTAACAATTTTCTTAATGTATTCTTTAAACATTACCTCAATTAATCATTATCTTGGAGTTTGCCTTATTTATAAAAGCTTAACTTATTTTCAGCCATATTCTTAACATAATTTAAACATTTAACATTATTTTCAGCCATATTCTTAACCCATTAAAAACAAGAGGCCTACCCCTTCCTAGGACTGAGTGGATACCCCACGTTTTCTTGAATCTTACAACCTGAAATCTCATTGTTGCTCTTAGAAGAACATTTCTTTCCTCACATGCTACACTTTCTCCTCTGCCCCTACTTACTTAATACATTATATACTAAAGATATTAAACCAAATGATTTTTCACTCCCTTATTCTAGAACAGATTTTTTTTTTTTTTTTTTTTTAATATATTTCATTGATTTCTTACAGAGGGGAAGGGAGAGAGACAGAGAGCCAGAAACATTGACGGGAGAGAAACATCGATCAGCTGCCTCCTGCACACCTCCTATTATACAAGGGATGTGCCCGTAACCAAGCCACATGCCCTTGACCGGAATTGAACCTGGGACCCTTCAGTCTGCAGGCCGACCCTCTATCCACTGAGCCAAACCGGTCAGGGCTAGAACAGATATTTTTAATGTTTATCATTTCATGTATACATAAACTATTTACTAAAATTCTACAGCACACCAAAAAAAATATATTTTTTGCCAAACTAAAGAAAATAGGTAAATTTTGATTCATTCACAACAGATGGCTATTGTGCTGGTTGTCATTTTTTTATTTGTAAAGAGGTCAGTGCCCCTGACTAAATAGTCAGGTATTTCATGTTTTAAAAATTCTTGCAGCACACTAGTTAAAAATAGCTGCTCTAGCAGGTTGTAATTAGATGCCTGAAAAATTGCAACTTGATGCAGTGGGTCTCAATCCTGGATGTGCTTTGGAATAACCATTCTTAAGCTACAACACAGTAGCCCTATTACACATCATAGCATAGCATACTTAGGAAATTTGATCCAGAAAATTTGGGGTAGCTTCAGAGACTGTATTTGTAAAATAAAACTCTACAGATTTTGAGACACAGAATGAAACAATAACTTATGATTTTCATTTTTATCCCCTAGCTCAAGTGACACACTCCTGACAAATTCATCTAACTCTGTTATGTCTAAAAATATCAATTCTTCAACAATGAAAAAATAAAATTTCAGTGAGGTACAATACAATGAATGTCAGAGACCTAGTAAGCACAGGCTCTATCATTAACTAAGACTTAACCAGCCTTCAGTTTCCAGCTGCAATCACGAAGAAAGTGTACCCAATCAGTGCTTTGTAGAATTCTGTTTCCCGGTTAAACAGGTGCCTTAGCAGCCAAGAGAGAAGCTGAATAAAGGTACAGGCTAAACAGGATGCAGGGGCTCTGATTTGATCTGCTTACACATATCCAGTTAACTCAAACAACGCAGGGGCTGGGGGCAACAATCCTCTGCACAAAAATCTGTGTATAACTTTTTTTTTTTAATTATCTTTAAAAATATATATATATTATTGATTTTTTTTTTACAAAGAGGAAGAGTGAGGGATAGAGTTAGAAACATTGATGAAAGAGAATCATCGACCAGCTGCCAAGGTACATGCCCTTGACCGGAATCAAACCTGGGACCTTTCAATCGCAGGCCGACGCTCTATCCACTGAGCCAAACCGGTTTCGGCTGTGTATAACTTCTGAATCCCCTAAAAATGAGCTCACTAAAGTCTTATTCATAACATAGTTGATTAACACATATTTGTATGTTGTATAGTGCATTCTTAAAATAAACTGGAGAAAAGTTAAAATAATTTTTATTTGTTGAAAAAATTTTGCATATAAGTGGACCCATGTATTTCAAATCTATGTTGTTCAAAGTGAACTGTACATAAATATATATACTTACAGATATTTAATATGACATTTGAAAGCAAGTCCTACAGACACAAAATTTAAAAACCCTGGTTCTATAACTTGAAATCTGAGCCACATTTAAAGTGCTCAAATGCCACATGTGGCTATTGGCTTACCATAGTGAACAATGCAAAAATAAAATATTTCCCATAGGTGTAGAAAGTTCTATTGAAAAGTCCCATTGTCAATGATTTAATAATTGTGTGTTGTTGGATTAGAAGCTCCCTATGATTTATTCCAGCTCTAAAATTAATCCCTAATATCTGAAGAAAATGCATTAACCTAGCTATTCAAAATCATCTAAATTAGTAAAATATTCTACAGGTAGCCAAAAATGTTTAAACAACCTAAATAAAAAGAAAATATTATCACTGAAAGAGAGAAAAGATCTCTGGACCTTAGACAAGAAAAATTATTGAATGAGAAAGGTATATCCCAATAATACCTCCTTATATATCCCAAATATATAAGAAACTCAAACACCAAACCCCCAAACAATTTGACTAAAAAATAGGTAGAAAACCTAAATAGCCATTTCTCCAAAGAGGACATACAAAAAGACAATCAGCACCACTAATCATCATGGAAATAAAAATTAAAACCACAATGAGATATATATCACCTCATACCTGTCAGAACAGCTATCATTAATAGATCAACAAATAAATGCTGGGAAGGATGTGGAGAAAAAGAAACCCTTGTGCACTGTTGGTGGAAATGCAGAATAGTGCAGCCACTGTGGAAAACAGCATGGAGGGCCCTCAAAAATTAAATAATCATATAACCCAGTAATCTTAATTCCTGGTATTTATCCAAAACACAAAAACATATGTGCATGCCTATATTCCTGCAGCATTATTTATGATAGCCAAGATATGGAAGCAACCAAAGATTCCAAGAGATGAATGAATAGAAATGTGACTATATACAACAGTATAGAATTCGGCCATAAAAAAATAAAATCTTACCATTTGCAACAACATGGGTGGACCTAGAGGGTCATTATGTTAAGTGAAATAATACAGAGAAAGACAAATATTGTATGATTTCACTTATATGTGCAATCTAAGAAGAAGAAAAAGAAAAAAAAGGAACCAAAATGTAACAAACTCAGACACAAAGAAGAAATTGGTAGTTACCAGACAGACTGCGGGTTGAGGGAACAGTGTAAAAGGTGAAGAGGTTAAGAAGTACAATTTGACAGTTATGAAATAGTCACAGGAATGTAAAGTACAGCACAGAAAAATATTGCCAGAAATATAGTAGCTAGGTATGCTGCTGTGCAGGCACTAGATTTGTCAAGAGTGATCACTTCATAAGGTATATACATTTCTAATCACTATGTTGTACACCTGAAACTAATATAATATTGAATGCCAACCATAATTAAAAAATAAAATGAAAAACACAAAAAACTAGCCTGGGCAGTTTTCTCAGTAGTTAAGAGTGTGGGCCTGCCAACCAAAGGGTCTGGGGTTTGATTCCCAGTCAAGGGCACATACCTCGGTTGCAGGTTTGATTTCTGCTCCCGTCTGGGGAAGAGTGCAGTAGGCAACGAGACTGTGTCTCTCTCTCACATGGATGCTTCTCTCTCTCTCCTCTCCTTCTCCCTCCCTTCCACACTCTCTAAAAATCAATAGAAAAAATATCCTCGGGTGAGGATTAAAATAAAATAAACACATACATAAATAAAATAATAAAAAATAAAAAACGACACCAAGTCTGGACAGCATGGCTGAGTGTCAACCTATGAACCAGGAGGTCACGATTCAATTCTCAGTCAGGGCACTGGCCCGTGTTGCAGGCTTGATCCCCAGTGTGGAGCATGCAAGAGGCAGCCAATCAATGCTTCTCTCTCATCACTGTTTTTATCTCTCTCTTCCTTCTGAAATCAAGCAAAATATATTTTTTAGAAAAATTCTTAGGTAATGATAATGTCACATAAAGTTTATTGAAGCAGTCCCACTATATTATTTTATTTGAGCTACATATCTCAAATGGGTAAATAGGACAAATACTGTTATCAACTTTACTGGTAAGGATAGTAAACTGAATTATAAGCAGCACAATAATGACTACAAAGCCCCAGAGTTAATAAAAAGAACTAAAACTGGAAAAAAAGATTCTTATTCATGGTACTCTGAAAGCATGCACCAAAGTGACAAAGTACTGTGTTATGGACAAAAATATGAACTCACTAATACTAAGGAAAGAAATGTATTCATTCAATATTTATGAGTATCTACACTGTACAAAGTTAGTATAGCAGGTGATAAAGATAATGAAAGAAAAATCTGCTTAAAAAAAACCAAAAAACCCCAAACATCCAAGTGATCAAATTCTAATTAAATATGGGGAAATTTCAACAAGGGGAATAAAAATATTAGCATCACTCTTTCACAAGTCTTAATTATAAATCTTTTTTTTTTAAAGTATAGATATGCTAGTTACAATACAATACTAAAAAACCTGAAGTCAAAGCTTCAATTTCCATAGGAAAAGCCCCATGATCACACTATACTTGTAGTGCTGAATAACCACTTCAATGACAACCCACTAAAATTAGGCAAGCAAGTATGGATGCCTTAGCAAAAACAAAAGTCACTAAAAGAAAAACTTTGGTCTACACACAATTCCCAAGAGGCAAACATTAAAGTAGTAAGTTTTAAAATATTGTGGAGTATTTACTGTTTGACTTCATCTGTGGCCAAAGGGCACTGGTTATTTTTCAAATTCTAATACATAAAATTTGTTTCTAATAGGTTATGTAAGTTTCACATTCTCCCTCCCCAATACTTTTCTCACACAATACAGAACATTTCAACTAAAATTCACCATAATTTTTTCCATGTTTCAACATTTTAAGATGTCATTGGAGTTTACTATATAAGAATTCAAATGTATAATCAAATAAAACAAACTCAATTAACTGAAATGATTACCAAATGTAGTCTTTCAAGAATATTTCCGATTTACTAAAGGCTAAATCCTTATTTGAACTGCTGAAAACCACTCTAAAACTATATTCTTCTCTTTTCTTCCTATTATAATAGTAGTCTTTTTAAAAAGTAACTGATAAATAACATTGCCTTGAACTTATCATTTTCAAAAATCATGTTGTGCCAACGCAGAAGCTAAAGATATTTTTGAGTCTCTTAACCCAGAATTCAAACAAAAGTTACAATTTTTAATAAACCTCTATCAGACTGTATCCTTTTTCTTTTAAAGCGAAAGGAAATAGAATCCTATTAAGTGTACTTTACAATAAATGGAAACTTCTAGAGATTTAGAAGTATAAAATACAAATTAAATCAGGATGTTCTTACTTAATGCTGATACACTGGTGGATGCGACAAAAAGTCTCAAATATGAAGAGACGAGCATTTTCAATAAAATCCTCAAGACAAGCCACCAAGAAGAAGTCATTCACAAGCACCTGTGTATAAAATGAAAAAGAAAAAAAAATTAAAAAATTAAAAAAACAACATTGTGTGCCTTAGTCATTGTTCCATTTCACTAGAATTCTCTCATCTATGATCACAAGTTCTACACAACACTTTCTATCACACTATACTGAAGCTGCTAATAATATAAGTTAAACAAGTAAATGCTATGAGAAAAAGACATAAAGAACTGCAATGTTTCCTTGTCCCAGTGATGATTTAAACAATATATGACAAATTAGCTTTGTGTTGTCCATTATCCTACATAAGTGCCCTACAGATAGCGTATCTTTTCCAGTTATTTCAAATCGTTATGAGTGAAGCAAAGAAATGCATATTTTTATGATAGTAAATATAGTAAATCTAAAAAGGAAAAAATTCAAGGGTCATATCATAATGAAGAGAACATTTTAATAGCAACCAAGTTCTCTTCTGTCTTAGCAAGCCCTAGATACTTAATATAACAGATATATACAAATATTTAATAATGTTATATGATGTTAATAATATTGATGACTATATGAACACATATTACACTAGATTATAATTTAAATTTTGTCCTAAGTTTGAAAATCACCTCGGAAGGTATATTTACATGATAATTTTCTCTTTTTTAGAGGAAGGAATCTTAGTCCTTCAACATATTTTTGTGCTAATATTTGGGTTCAAAAAATGAAATTGACATAGTAATTTGTGGATTTGGTAAATGCATTTAATAGGTAAATTCTTAGTTTAATTTGTTAAACCTTCAAAACTAACTTAATTAAAAGAAAAAACAACATACCCATAAACCTAACTCTTTCAGTTGCTCTGAAGGTACTTTAGTTTCTAATAACCAAGAGAAGACACTGTGGTTATAAAAATCACACTTTTAGCTTGAGTGATTTATAGCAAATGTTAAATATATCAAAATGTGAAAATTTCTAAAAATAGGCCCACTTACAAAACAAATTAGGAATCATAGTTGTGATATGCAATTCCAAACAACCTTGCCCACAGCTATTAAATATTTCACATATTTACTTATTCAGGATAAGACATGGAATTATGGGTGTCTGTGTAAATTTATAATACACCCAATGGCCGAAACCGGTTTGGCTCAATGGATAGAGGGTCGGACTGCGGACTGAAAGGTCCTGGGTTCGATTCCGGTCAAGGGCATGTACCTTGGTTGCGGGCACATCCCCAGTAGGGGGTGTGCAAGAGGCAGCTGATCGATGATTCTCTCTCATCGATGTTTCTAACTCTCTATCCCTCTCTCTTCCTCTCTATAAAAAAATCAATAAAATATATTAAAAATATAATACACCCAATGTTTAAAAGCTGTCCTAACTAAAAGGATACACACATGGCAACAACATTAAAAATGTTTTTTTTATCCCAGCACATTTCTAAACAAAAATATGCCACTTTAAGATTAATATACATTCCTGATAGAATTACTTTAATAAAACACTATAAGGTTAATTATTATAATGTATAAAAATTTAGGAATGCTATTAATTTATAAGTAAAAATTCATACTTACAGATTCACATTCCCTCAGCTTTTTCTGAGCCCCATCAAAGTCAAAGTTAACATATAAACATTCAACAAACTCTGTAATTGGGTCTTTATATGTGTAAGACTCCTGTAAAATAAAGTCAAATGTCAAACTGGATCTAATTCAACACTGTTTGGTAGATTGCCCCTAGACTATCCCAATCTTCCTATTTTCTCCTCTGTTCCCATTAATTTCCAGCAAATTACCTAGTATTTATCTTCTCAAAGCAATTGCTTGTATCCTGATTGCAGGCCACACCTTTAGCTTTTAATGCCTTCCAGACCAAGTTCTCTAAATTCTCATCCTAGAACCATTCCAAAAGCTTTCAAATTCCTCTGGAGCCAAAAGTATTCCTTAATAAACAGTGATGAACTTACCCAAGGATAACAATATTTATACCCTACTGAAGGGGAAATTGTATTTTTAAATTTAATTTATTCTTATATCAAATAAATATTTAGATTCTTTTCTAACCCACAGTGATTGCTGAGAAGCTCACTACATGAACAAGTAGAGCCACAGCTTTTAACAACTTGGAAACTATTACTGTATTCAATGTAAAGGCCATTACTCTGGAATTATGCAGACAGTGACCTCCCAACAAACAGTTCTAGGCTCCAGATCGTTCACTCTTTGCAATAAGAGAAACACTAATATACAGTGTATATTAAATATCCACCTAGCAGAGAACAGTATCTTTCATACCACTTCAGGCTTAAGTATATCTTGAGCTTAAAGATAGTAAATATCCACTTGGATTCCTGGACTCTTCTCCATGTTTCCTTTCCTCCTATTTTTAAAATGTCTTTACCTTAAGAAGAGTAGTACTTGACGGGGTAGCTAAACCTAAAGTTCAGGCATATTAAAAAAAAAAAAATCAATAGAGATCTAAGTTTTTACCTGTTGAATAACTTTGACTAGATCTTTTAGCACTTGCCGGCGTTTTCGAACATCTTTGTTTGTTATGACTGCTGTAGTTAAATAGCGAAGAATATGTGGACACATGGTCTGAATTGCATTAAGATACCTAAGGTAAAAATATAAAGGCTATTTAATATTAATAACTTACCTAGTTTTTCTAGACCTATAATCATATATTAAGTGCTTAAAAGGAAACCCTCAAACCGCCCATTAGATTATATTGTTTAAGCAATCCAAGATTACAAACACTATAAGAATGAATACTATAAAGGCCATCTTCTCCAAGGAAATGCCAGCTGATATTCCCCAATTTGAAGACTCAAAAGGTAAATAATCCTATTATCACTATTGAGGAAAAGGTATTTTGGAAGACCCTATATATGCCATCAGTCTATTTCAAAAGACTAAGCAATGATTTTCAGTTATTCACCTAGTAGAACAAATGTGTGAAAAATTTCTGCACGCAAATTACTAATCATAATCAGAAAAACAGGCATTTACACAAATTAAAATGTTCAGGAAACGAAAGACTGGAAACTAAGTATCTCTGAGTGTGCAACACTATGACAAGCTTAGAAATATTTGTCAGTAGCCCTGGCTGGTTTGGCTTGGTGGATGGAGCATGGGCCTGCGGACTGAATGGTCCCGGATCGATTCCGATTCCGATTCCGATTCCGATTCCGATTCCGATTCCGGCCGGGGACAATGTGCCTGGATTGCAGGCTCGATCCCCGGTAGGGTGTGTGCAGGAAGCAGCCAATCAATGATTCTCTCTCATCTTTGATGTTTCTATCTTTCTCCCTCTCCCTCCCTCTGAAAACAATAAGGAAATAAAAAAGAAATATTAGTCAGTAAAACCCATTACCTCTTAGCTGAATATTCTAGCCCCAAAGTACCCATCCAGCTCCAGCTCTCACGAAACCATCATTGCCTGCTTCCTGCTTTCCTTACTTACACCTCACTCCACATGGATTGCTCTCACAAATACAAAACTCTGAAACTTAAATTCTAGCCATCCCTTAAGGTCAAGCTCAGATGCCTGATCTTCCAAGTTGCCCTAGACTGTAATATTAATAAATCTTTATATATTTTATTGTAGATTCCCCATAAAATGTTGTTTGAACTCTTTAGAGGACTCTAGAATCTGACAACTCCTCAAAATAATATCTAGTTCTACTGCCCTTTAAAGTCCCTCCAAACAAGACAGGGTGTAAAGGGAATTAACACTTAAGAATAAAATCGTTTCTAGGAAAAGATAACTCAAATCAGCTAAAAGGTTTATTATCTGAAAAATTAAGGCTGAGATTCAGGCAAAAAATTTTAAACTACACTATTGGTTCAGAACAATTGTTAGTCTCTATACAATTATCAGAGATTTCATGTACAAGTTCAGGAAAGCATGATTGCTGTTCTTAGTATTAGTTTTGAAGTAGGTAATTTTAGTAGGCACTTAGGGAACTCATTCATAAATTTATTCATACAGTATTACAAAAACTTTAAGTTCATTGTATATGACATTAAACATTTATTTCTACTTTTCCTAACTTTATTATTGTACCACAAAGATATTAATTTTTCCCCCCCAAGTTCCTTGGGAAATCATCTCCCTCTTTCTGTGAGTACTTAGGAGAGGTTAGCAAAATGCATATAAAGTGCCAGAAAATGAAGACTTTAGGGTTTGCAGGCCAAGAGAGCAAATTTGAGAACATTATGAGAGTACTTATATAAAAAGGAAAAAAAGTAAATCTCCAAAGTATTTTATTGAAAAACAAAAAATATAATAGTTTAGTAGAAAATTTTTAAATAATAGGTCTAATGAGAAGAATTAAATTTCTTTATTGAGGATAACTTTTTTAATTGGGTTCAAAAGTTAGAGACTCCTATCACAAAAATTTATTGCAACTGTTGATATGTTAATGATGATCCGTATGACATAGTTAATACTTAAAAATGTTTTTCAAGAACATCAGTACCACCAAATATGGCTATCAATGAACAAACATGTGCTTTTAATTTAGCATATTCATAACTTGGCAAAAATTTGCACAATTCTGCTAAATTCTTCTTTTGATATTTCCTTCTAGTATATCATTATATTGCAAATGAATCACTTCAAATTCAATTGCAGTTAATTGAATTTTGAAATATGGAAATTTCCTTTTGTAATGAAAATGAGGCCTAAAACTTTCTGGAATTGTATTTTGGGCTCAAAAACCGTATCTGCTGAAATTTTGTGTGGGAATGAAGATCTTATTTCTTTTTTATTTTATTTTAAATGTATTTTTATTGATTTCAGAAAGGAAGGGAGAGGGAGAAACATCAATTATGACAGAGAATCATTGATTGGCTGCCTCCTGCATGTTCCCCACTGAGGTTGAGCCCACAACCCAGGAATGTGCCCTTGACTAGAATTAAACCCGGGATCTTTCAGTCTGCAGGCTGACGCTTTATCCACTGAGCCAAACCATTTAAGGCTCATTTTAACTTTTGAAAGAAGAAAAACTATAAAGTGGCGAGACATGTGTTAATTGTCATAAAAATGACTATCCTATATAATAAAAGCCTAATATGCTAAGTGTCTGGTCATCTGTTCAACCAATCAAAGCCTAATATGCTAATGATATGCTAAGGCCACTCAACTGCTCACTATGACGTGCACTGATCCCAGAGGGGCAGATGCTCTGACCAGTAATTTAGCTTGCTATGGGGTCCAGGCCAATAGGGACTGAGCGAGACAGGCCAGCTATGTCCTGAAGCCCTCCCCCGCACAGTCTCTCCCTGGCTGGCCACCCTCCTGTGTCCCTCTCCATTTCCGGCCCCGGCCCGATAAGAGTTTCTCAACCTAGCCTGCACCCTCTCTCAATCCTAGACTTTCTGGGAAAATGTTGGGAAGCCAGTTTTGGCCCTTTCCCACAGGCCAGGCCAATGGACCCCACTAGTGCACACAATCTGTGCACTTAGTCTCTAGATACTGGTACCGTAGTATAAGTACTACTTCACTTTGTAATTTTAGGTTGAATTTAATAACATTATCTAGGCTATAACAAAAATTAATTTACAGCCGAAACCGGTCGGCTTGGGGACTGAAGGGTCCTGGGTTTGATTCTGGTCAAGGGCATGTACTTTGGTTGTGGGCATATCCCCAGTAGGGGGTGTGCAAGAGGCAGCTGATCAATGACTCTCTCTAATCGATGTTTCTAACTTTCTCTCTCTCTCCCTTCCTCTCTGTAAAAACTCAATATATATATTTTTTAAAAATTAATTTACAGAGCCATTCAGGGCATGATAATAGTAATTAAGTATTTTTCTCATTCAATATCTCACCTCAAGCTCAAAAACATCACAACTTGTCATTGTGAAGCCATCCAATTGCTGTATAGTATGGAAAAATCAAGATATTCTATTTCTGACAAAAATTCATAGATTGGTAACAGTTAACTCTATGAGAGTAAATAAGCTCATTGTGGCACCAATTGGTTGAATTAAACACCACAGATTCAAGTATTTTCCACAAAGTACATGGTGATAAATAATGCAATCAATAATCATAAGCTCTGAATACCTCACAAATTTTATGAATTTGATCAACTAAGCCTTTTCTTCTCCATACATATTCACCAACAAAAGTTTTAGCACAACTTAGCCAATTCCATTTCAGGATGTAGTAAATTAGTATTCTCTTAAAAACATTAAACTATGATTAAACTAAAATATCACCTATAATTGTTCCACACAAGACTATCATAGAGACATGTTCTTCAACCACTCCACCAGATTCCTCAAATTAACAACAAAACCATATTGGTAATATCCACTGACTCATCAAGAGCCAAGGAAAACCACAAAAATCATATGCATTGTTTTTTAATTGATTGCTGATGTTGCTCCCAATATCTTCAACACTGAAACTGTTCTCAGCAAAGGCTAATAATTTTAAACTTGTTTATTTTTTCTAGACATATTTCTTTAGCTGCCACAATTGAACATGAAACAGAATCACCATTGGAAAATGGCTTTCTTTTGACTAACAAAGAGCTGCGCAGAAATTTACTTTGGTTAAAGCCTCATTTTCATTGATTTTTGTGAGGAAATTCTGCTGATACTGTTTTAAATTTCCCAATTTTTCTGACAGTTGCTTTGCTGTCAATGGGAATATTATAATGAGTGCTTACAGTCTAGTAATGTGGATGTATATAGTATTGTTGTAGCATACCTACAGTGCAAATTCAATGTTTTGCTTTTTAACTTAAGACAAAATAATTCCTACCCCACTGTGCCATAAAAGCACATTTGAAGTCCACTTTTATTGCTTTGACAGGATGAGAATGCACTTGTAATAAAACAAAACAATACACTGCAGTATGGGGATAAACAGCATTTGAAATAATGTCTAGGCATGTGGCACCTCTGGGACTCACAGTGTACAGAGCAATAACTGTGAGGCAAGGAGAATGCAAGAATATATGATCTCTGTTACAATTCAGCTCTACCATACTCTTCAAAAGCTGCCAAAGACAACACCGCAAGAACCCTTTTATCCATGATTTTGGTTTTCACAGTTTCAGTTTCCTGTGGTCAATTATAATCCGAAAATATTAAATGAAAAATTCTAGAAATAATACCTAAGTTTTAAATTGCAAATTGTTCTAAATATTGTGATAAAATTTCAAGCTGTCATGCTCTATCCTGCCCATAATGTGCATCATTCCTTGGTCAAACACATCTACACTGTATATAGGGTTTGGCAAAAGTAGGTTTACAGTTGTTCATATGGAAAATACAGTAATAACAGAATCAACTGTGTTTCATGTACTCATAACTGTAAATCTACTTTTGCCCACCCATATATATACCATACAGTACTTGCCTACCCATTAGACAATTAGTAGCCATCTCAGATCCAGTTGTGATATTGCAGTGCTTGTGTTCAGGTAACCCTTATTTTACTTAACAATGGTCCTAAAGCCATTCACGTAGGTTTATTACATACAGTTAGAATTTTTCTATTTTATTATTATTGTCTTTAATCTCTTACTGTACCTAAAATTTATAAATTAAACTTAATCATAGGTATATAATTATAGGAAACATTATAAAGGGTTCAAA